AACAAACTGAAGTGTCTACTTTTGAGTAACTAAAGTATTTTTTGAAAAGCCTAGGTTAATATCATTTATATCAGTAAATATCTAAAAGGAGAAATGAAGCAGAAAATTTATTAAGTCACATTTTAGTAGTAGTATATTAGTGGGTGAGGAAAAGAAGAAAAACAAGAGAGTCTAAAGAAGGGCAAATACAGTCAGGGAAGTTTGCTCTCAGAAGCCTGTCACAGCAAGAGTGATGTAACTTTGACATTGACTTTTGCCCACATTTATGATTATGTAAAAATGTGTATTGGTTGTAATATAATAAATAGAAAATGCATTTCATATAAGTTTATGCTTATGCTTCTATTTTACTGTTGCTAAATTATGTGAAGTAGCCATTATTGGTGAATTGTACACATTTCTACACAATTACACTGAGTCTGGCCAAAGCTCCCTGTTATGGAAGTCTCATTTTTGTAACTCCTGGGCCAGACATGCACCCTGACATCTCATAAGATTTCAGTAAATGAACATCAAACAAGTAAATGAAATGTTATTGATGAATATATTAATCAGGGTTCTCTAGAGAAATAGAATCAATAGGATAAAGAAAAACATTAACTATAAGAAATTGGCTCACACAATTACTGAGGCTGAGAAATCCCACAATCTGCCTTCTGTAAACTGGACTCTCTGGAAAGCTGGTGGTGTGGTTCCAGTCTAAAGGCAAAGGCCTCTAAACCAGGGCAGCCAAGGTGTAAGTCCCAGTCCAAAGGCCTGAGTACTGGGAGTGCTGATATACAAGGGCAGGAGGAAATGATGGTCCAGCTCAAGTGGGGAGAGCAAATACATTCTGCCTTTTTGTTCTATTTAGATCCTCAGTGGATTAGATGATGACCACCCACATTGGTGAAAGCAACTTCCTTTAGTCTACTGATTCAGGTGCTAATCTCTTCAGGAAACACCCGTGCAGCACCTCCAGCAATAATGTTTTAGCAGCTGTCTGCAGCATCCCTTAGCCCAATCAGGCTCACATATAAAATTAACCATTATAATGACTACCAACTAATACTGAAAGTGATCACAGGTAAATAATCACACTGTTTATTTCAATTTTCTTCAATGAACTTGTTTTACAAAATTAAAACTGATTTGACTAAAATCAGTTGTATATTAAGCAGTTCTGACTTATGTGTACCTCCTTATAAGCTATGTATCTTGTGCTTGTATGTGCATCCCTTCAAAAGCCTACTTTAGAAAGCAAGCAATTATTTTAATTTTATCAGTTTTGGCTAGAGATCTGTATATCTAGAGCACATTGTTAAGTCTACTATTACTCAGCTCTAAAGGAAAAGTTGAGTTTTAAAATCCATCCCCATTTGTAGAATTGATTTGAAGTGAGGTGGCAATTAAATACAGAGAACAGACTGGTGGTTGCCACAGGGGAGGGAAGTAGGGAGATGGACGGAATAGGTGAAGAGGTACCCACTTCCAATTGTAAAATAAATAAGTCATGGAGAGGAAAAGTGCAGCAAAGAGAATATAGTCAATAATATTGTTTTACCTTTGTATATTGACAGATGGTAACTAGATTTGTAGCATTTAGTAATTTATATAATTGTCCAGTCATTATATTGTACACTTAAAAACAATATGATATTGTATATCAACTACATTTCAATTAAAAAAAGGAAAACAAAAAATTCAAGTTATGGCTAAAAGCATAAAAGGAAGGCAAAATAGAGTTAAATTCCATTAGATAAAATGAAATTTTAAAAAACTGGGCTTCACCTACTTATGAAAGTGCTTAAAATAGTTTGCTCTTTAGAAAGGAGTTAACACTTCTAGTTCTCTAGGATGATATGAGCTATAACTACATAACTAAAAGACAAGAATTTATGAAATAAAAAAGTGAAATTTTATCAGATAAGCAGTAGTTATTATTTTAAATGTTATAAGTATCAAAATATTGCCTTATTTTTTTTGTGATTCCTATATTGAATTCCAGGCTCTGTTTTTCCAGGAATATATAAAAGAGTTTTCCTTGTCCATGTGTATCTGATATGTAGATATATACGTAATATACTTCCTTTCATACAAGAAATAGATTCTATCTTATCTTTTAAAATCTGTACAACTTTGAGAATAAGTGTTGTGTTTTCTTAAAGTTCATATTCCCCCAAACACACACAACACAGTGTTATGCACATAATTATGTACAAAAAAATAAAATAACAGCAATGCTGCAGAGAAAAGTCAAAGAAGAAAGAGCTGATTCAAAAAACTTAGAATATATTGTCTTATTATCTTTGTTATTTGCATTTGCCACTTCAGCTCCGAGAATCAGAAAGCTTACATCACAGGAAATTATTTCAAGCAACATGAGTATGTCAGAGAAGATAATAATAGAGCAAGATGTTTGATTCAAAACTAAACCTTTGTTTTTAAACATTAGAGAGAATTTTTGAATCATATTGCAAAGCACCCCAAGCATCTTTTAAGTAAAATTAAGAACAAAAATAGCAAATTTAAACAACTGTAAAATTAATAGGTAGCACTAATACTAAGAAAAGTTTTAAATGCCTGGAAGCTTTAATTTAATAGAAAATAAACTTTTTCACTATATACATATATGTTACAAATGTATATTTAATTACTGATTATTAAATATCATTGATTCACTACCACTTACTGCTTACATTGTCTGTTCTCTGAATAAATTATCTAAATACATGTGATTTCATTGAACATAATTCTCCGAAAGTAGGCATTATATTATCTCATTTTCTAGAAGCACATTATACCTGTCTAGTCAAAGCCATGTGTAAGCAAAGGTCTGTAAACTAAAATGTCCATACACACTCTCAGCTGTCTAAGTCAAGGTTGTGGATTCAAAAAAGTAGATCTATGCAAGAGGCAATTTAGTTAATTTATTAAATTCTTCCTCTTGGATGGTATTAATTAATACTGTTTAGTGTCTTCAACATAGAGAGATAAAACATAATTTAGTTATAAGTTTTTCAACTTGATTTATAACTTAAAATATTTAAACCTATGATGTGCGGACCTCCATTTGTACTCCTGTTCTGGGCCTTGTAAATAACAAATGATAAAATCAATGAAAGAAAACTCAGACAAAATTCTTCCATACATACATTTATTTGCAAGAAGCAGACACAAAACAGTCATAGAATTTATTCTATAAGTTCAGTGAATTCTGAGGTTTAGGCATTCCAGCAAGTGTGTTGTATGAAAAGTTTATTTGAGGCATACTCAACATTATTTCCGGGGGAAGGATCTGCTAATCTAATCAGAGTCAGGGTGGAATCATCTGTACATGGCTTTGTACGAGACCATCAAAATTCTTAGATCAGGATATTATCCCACTGGATTTTCCCTTCTAGTCACATAAGGGCTGAGCTGCCTGTCTTGCTAGTTCTAGCCCATCCACATAGATTTAAACCATTCCTTGTGAAAAAAATAATCAACTCTTGAAGGCAGATTACAATAGAATTATTTAAAGTTCCTCTCTGTTAATTCCTGCTAGTGTGCAGATTCATTATCAGGGTTTTTAAAATGCTAACTTTCTCATACTGACCAGTTATATATTCCTGATCAAAATGCCTGCACTAGTATATAGATTTAAAGTTATAGACTTATGATATTGTGTATACTGAAACATTAATTAATGGAAATTAAACACGATATAGTACACTGTTCAGGAAGACCCACCCTGGCCTCTCCTAAAGTTCTGTAGCAGAACTGGGGCCTGGAAGCCCAGAGCTTTAGGCTTCCCTTCTCATTTCACAGTCCCCTGCCCAGTCTGCCAATGATTCTCCAAGTCTAGAACAGTGCCTAGGGAATTGGTGTCGGAATCTTGGCCAAGAGCCATCTATAAAACTATGAAAATTGGCTGCCTTTATGTCAACACTAGACTGCTGAAGTATGAGACCATTAAGGCTATTTGCGTTTGCTCTCCACAGAATTATAAAGATGTTCTAAGATTCAGGAATGGAATGAATGCTGACTTTTAACCTTCTTCACTCTCCCCCAGTTGAAACTGAGAAAAAGTTTTTACAGTTTGGATGTCAGACCTTTTCCCTTTTCTTTCTTTTTCCTTCTTTTATTCCTTTTCCTTTTTCTTTTCTTTTCTTTTTTGAGACAGATTCAGGACAAACAGTTTTATGAGAATACTTGTCTTTCCCAGGCTCCAGGAGTTTGGCTGCCAGCCCTAATGTCCACAGATAAGTCAAAAAGACTAATGATGCACTTGGTTCTCTGCAGAGTCCACTCCCTTCAGATCCCTGCTCTTTCTCCAGGGTTTTTTTTTTTTTGAGGGTCAGGAATTACACAAAGGATTGTGAAAGGAATGTCAACCCACCAAGTTTTTCTTAAACTCTCTTTGCCTCTTTTTATTTATAGTAAATCCCTCTGAGCAGAGCCCTTGCCAGACTTCAGGAGGGTTGCACCTCATGAGACACCACGAACAAAGAAAATTTTATCTCTAGGCTCATGGTCCTGACTTAACTTTCACAATGCTGCATTCTCAAGCAAAGTGTCTGAAGAATTCAAAAGAAAAAAAGCATCCTGCATTTTCTCTAACATTTCGCATTACACATCCTGCTTGTCTATACCCAGCCACGACAAGCTCTGGAGAGGACTGTAAAAGGACACCTTTCAAGGTCCCCATATTGCAGGGGTTCCGTCCCAATTTTGTGCTGGGTGCTTACAACCATCAGCTGCTCCAGAGAATGAATTCTCATTTCCCTGGATTCCTCAGACTGGATCTCTTTGGAGACCCTCCCTTCCATTGCTCTGCCCTTGGATAAGGACATGCACGGCTTGATTTGAAATGTTGGGCAGCAATGACTGAAACATTCAGTGTCCTCTCTTGCAGAATTGTTCACATATTTGTAGTCAGAGGTGGGAAAACTGGTCTATAAACAGGAGAGGAACAGTTGCCAGGTGCTGAGGTCCAATTACAAGGCTTACCCTGTGGAACCTTAGGGGATGATAGATGCTCAAATTCTGCATTTCATAGATTCAGGGGATGGGTAATGCCCCGATTCAGGCTTTTTGGTGTCTGCACCATTGGTTGTGCTCTGTATGTCTCGTTCCTGGTGTTCTACGATGCCATCCACAAAAGAAACATTGCACGCCCCTGCAGTATTCATCCTCTCTCCCCATTGCTCCCCAGGCTTCTGGCTGATTTTGTAACCAGAGGCTAGAGTAGGGGGATTTCCCATTTTCATTTCAGGAATATTTTCAGGATCCTTAACACTGAGATTTTAAGGATCTAGAATGGTTGTCCAGAGATAAATGGCCCAATTCCCCATTTCTTTTTGTTATGGTCCTTAAAAGGCAACATACATGGTTTAAATGAGACAAAGCAGAAGTTATCACCTACTTTAACTTTCGAACATGATAGTTCTAAATTTATATATACATATGTGGAGTGCAATTAGTTTCCATAAACTAAGGAGTTGGCATAATTGAACTTCTCTCCTCTCTGGGAACTGGAGGTTTTTGCAATAACTCTCCTTCTCTGTAATTAGAACTTCAAGTTCTACTATGAAAGAACATGATTATTTATTTATTTACTTTCTTATTTGAAGTGGGAATGGAGTGGTATTGTACAGATAAAGAAGATGGGGGGAAGGTAAGTCCCAGGAACCTGGAAAGGAAGACAGGGAAGTCTGGGTCCTTATCCTCAGTCATGGTACTTAAAACAGTGCAGAAATTGCAACCAAGAACAAATGTCAAATGTGGAACCAAGCAGAAGACTTCTTCAAGGGACATTGTTGTAATGCTTGGCCTTACTTGAGCTTGAGTCTTCTTTTACTTCCCAGCCTTCACTCCAGTAGGAACACACAATCTTATGCATCTGGGGGATATCGCAGTTGATCATCTCACATGTGCTAATGAATCTCCAACTCTCCATCAGTGGCCTACCAGGAGTAATACTTGTCTGTGCCACAAAATTTTGTTCAGACTTAATATAGATAATTCCACAAAGCCCCACAACTTCCATATGCAACAAGGTTATAACTAGTGTGCTGGCCCATTAAGGTTAGGTTTGGAGGATTGAACTAAACAAGCTGGGCAGCAAAGACTGGAGGTGATTTGTGACATCTACACCACAGGCATACAGCCTAGAGGTGTATCTTTCATTCTCCATGAACCTTGGCTCTGTAATCTGCCAATGAAACCAGATCTCTGTCCTGATCACATAGATCCCAAAGGTGCTCACATTTTTTTAAACCAAATCTTTACTAGGTTTTAAAAGCTATACCACAATGGATTTCATAATATTATGGACTCAGACCTGCCTTGAAAATGAACCTTTAGAAATAATCCAATTATTTTCCTAAAGGTCCATCCTTCTACACAGGAATGCAGGAAGAGACATGATTGAAAAGGTTGGCTTGGCACTGCTTTAGAAGAGTCTGAGTGTGCAATGGAGATTGTGCAAGTATTGCAAGCTCTGAGGGAGGGAATAGATTCTGTGAAGGTGGGAGAGCAAAGATCCAGGCTTAAGAAAAAATCAAATGCACCTTCAAAGAAAAAATTGGAACTCTTATAGTAGAGCAAAGCTTCAAAATGATTTGACTAAATGAAAAGGAATAAAATCTGAGAGACCTTATATTTAGTTTCAAAAAGTAACATAGCTCATGGGAAGAGTTTTAGAACAAAGAGTATAATGGTTTAAAAAAGAAGTTAGGGCACATGACCTGTATTATTTAAATTGAGGTTACAGTGGAAAGTTCATGTACGATATAGGCAAAGTATTTCTAATTTCTCTGAAGGGAAGAAACACCTGGAGGATAAATACATTCATGACTTTATGACCTTTGAAAATCCATCCTAATCTAGTTTTATCTAGGAGACAGAAAGTCCTTGTGAATAAAAGATAAAGTTTGTAAAACTACAAAACTTGTGCTAAGATATTAAGTGTTTTATATGATTGCTCAATTATTTTATAGATTCTTAGAAACTCAATATTCATTTTATAAAAGAAAGAGGCTTAATTTATCATTTTTCTTCTTAAACCCACTTACAAGGAGCTCTGTCTGCTGAAAAGAGATTTTGCTATTTTCCTTCCAACCAGGAAAATGATTGAATATTTTTGTTCAAATAATAAAATATGAAGAGAGGGAAATTCAAGGGCTGTCACTTTAAGACTATTCTAAGTAGTTTTTAAATATATACATTTTTGTTATTTAAGGGGAAGGGTAAGAAGATTATCCAACTGACTCTCTTTATATTGAGTAATAATACAGATTTGGCCATAAATGTCATAAAATAGCTGTAAAGGAGTATGAGATAATAAATATTTTAGGCAGGTATGCTGTTATCTTCAACAAAATCAGAACTCTTTTAGCAAGGAAAAAGGGAAAATCTATAGGCCACAAGCAGTATTTTCCAAAATACTTCTCAATAATATAATCCTTAAAACTTTTGTTCAATTTTAGCTTTTATTGAAATCTCAAGGGACTGAGCTCATGTTGTAAGAATCCTTTCATGTATTCATTTATTCATCATAGAGATCCAAGAATAAAGTTTAGGGACTATCCCAAATAATACATGGTCCTATGTGTGTTTGTGTGTACATTAGGCTGGATTAAAACAAGAAGGGAAAAATGTAAACATATTTTCATTTAAATGATACATGAGAACTAGTTATATGACCTACTAGTGTTATAGAGTGAGCAACTGACACAGAAGTGAGGAGGCAGCGCATAGCTAGGGAAGACTTTCTCAAGAAGCTGACGTCTCTCGGGGTTGAGTGGATTTCCTCGATGTTACCAAGAAGTAACTGGAGCAAAATGTCATTAAGAAGCCCTCTCATTGACTCCTTGTTTCTAAAATCTGGTCTCAGAAAGCTGAATGTCTATTAGATTCTACTGATTAAATGTGCTGTTTGGAATTAATTAGTCTCAACTTATTTAACTTTAATATCAGATAAGGACAATATAAAATAAGTCATTTGATGAAATTTGAATTTAGAGAGTTTGTGTTGTTGGTGGTGGTCATTTAATATTTTATTAGGTTTAAAAATCAGACTACAAACTATTTGAATAATTGTCAGGGGTGTTGAGATATAGGAAGGAACAAACAAAAATTATAAAAACTACAGATCCACAGGGCTACTTCCAGGAAAGAAAACACTAAATTAGAGGTTGCAAGGGAAGAATCTATTTCCTAATGAAAGGCTTTTTACTTATATGATAGGCATGCTAGATCTCTTTTATGTTAGGCATCTGGAAAAACAGAGACTGATCAAGGCATGAAAACCATCAGATTCACTCCAATAAAACTTAACAGTTTTATCAGAAAGAGGTTGCAGGTACTTCAGTGGTGTCTGAGGCTTATGAACCATAGACGGAGCTTTAGATCAAAGCCAGAAGACATGTTAAGATTTAGCTTGTGCTTGAGTTTCTCCAGAAACAACAGAAATATGATATCATTTCACATCAGGGAATAAACCGAAGTGGAACAGCAAAATTTCGGTGATGGGTTCAGTCTGTGGTCAAGTCATATAAGAAAAAAAGAAAAATTAAATTGTTCTGCTACAAAAATATCTCTCCTTGTAAAAAAGTGTGATCCATACATTTTCATCAAACTGTGATCCATACACTTTCATATGATCTGTAAGATCAGAGACATCACCAGAATAAGAAAACCCAACTATTGCATGTATTATACACAATCAGTTATTTAGATATTTTTTCTGTTCTCTTTCCTTCTGAAATCTCATCTTTTGATATGAGAGTGACAAGTTTCACATCAGGCCAGCATGTATTGGTAGTGATTAAATGTGTGAAGTCTGCTGGAAGGAAAATGGACTTTGGGCTCTCTAGTTTTAAAGAACACAAATAGTTCTAGTAAACTATGTAAAATCTAAAGGACTCTGATTAATCACATTTTCTCTCTTTCAATCAAAAAGGCAGTCATTCCTCTTGTATTTCCAAGGAATGATGACAATTATATTACTTTTACATTTAAAAAATGTCATCTTACTCTAAGCAAACAAATTTCATGTCCATTGAGATCAGGTCCATATTTATTAATGAAACATTGTACTTAAATATTCTTGATTGCTTCATAACGAAAATGAACAAGGGTGATTCCTTGTATTTGATGGTTCTTTACACTTTTATGTGCTTTAACATCTATTATTTTGCCTATTACTCACCATCACTTCTCAACTAAGTAACCATCCTTCTTCGAAGGAAAAGGAAAGGCATGAAGAGGTCAAAGAGCTGTCCTGAAGTGACACATCAAACGAACATCAGGGTTGAGACTGAAGCCTAGCCCCTTTCCCCAAACACAGGAACAACAGAGGGCAGTTTGTAAACTAGTCCCCGGTATGATTTTACCAGATAAAAATGGCTGATCTGGGGTTGTTTAATTGCTTGCTCTATTAAACTACCCAAAACTGTTTGCCACTTTTTTTTTTAATCATACAAAGTGCTTCAATAATTTCTATTTAAATTAAAATTGGAATTGTTCCCAACTTTCATCACAAATGTCTCTGCCTCTAAGTTGTTGTACACAACATGCAAAACCAGGATCAAGCAAAATAATTTCTTCATCTTGTTCTCACGGTTCACTGTAACATTGACCTCTCGAAAAACATTAAATATTTTTGGAAACACTCCCCTTGACTACTTTAAAACATAAACCTTCAACATAATGACTGATAAATCAATTCTACAACCTTTGAAAAATTAGGCAAGTTTGTCAGCAAACTTTCCTTCTCTTTTCTTCATATGTCATTTTTTTTCCCCTTAAACTTTTCTTCCTTGTACCTCATTTAATATTGTTCCTTCACCGGGAGAATGAACAGAAAAATTCACTCACATTAAATGCTGAGAACATTTTAATTTTTATAACAGAATTCTTTTACTTTTAAAAATGAAGTCTAGAGAAATAGTGAATTGTTGATGAAAGAATATCAGAGATCTGTGGGTTATAGCCAAGGACATGCAAGTTATGTTTATCTGAAATTAAAATTTAATTTGATTAAAAGTACTCAGAGTTTGGAAGTTGGCTTGGAAAGGTAAAATCTAGAAATAACTCTTAAACACTACCAGGACAATTGAGAAGCACCTACTAAAATAATATGAATAAAAATTGAACTGTCAGCATCATTAGCACTCACTTTCTACAACATGTTTACCAATAATTCTAATTTGTTCCCATTCTGTGAATGTCTGTCTCTGTTTTAATGCTTACTTCACCTGAGGACTTAAGTCTGTCATATGCCGCTTGGACATCAGAAACAGAGCTTCCTTTGACAACTTAAAAATATGGCACAATACTTCTAATATATTTTCAGGACAATTTTTAGTGTAATAATACTTATTTGGTTTTTTTAAGGTAATAAAAACAAAAAGAATAATAATAAAAGGTAATTGAAGCAATTTTTTTCATGGCAAATACCTTAGGAGGTAGTAAGTTTTACTATGACCATGTTACATATAAAGCTGAGGCATAGAGAGTTTAGGTCATTCCCTAGGTCATAGAGCTCACTAGTGGCAGAGATGGGATTCAGAGACTCAGGATTTAGAGACTTAGAGTCCAGTGCTCATGATAGGATCCTATCAGTGATATCCTCTTATAATGTTATACCCTTGCTCATGATAGTTCAAGTTAATAATTATTTATGACTTAGCACAGATTTAGCTTTCTTGTTTTTTAAGTACCTAGTCTTTTTCTGGTTATAAACTTACTAATGTGGAAACTGGGAGATACTAGTTCTCTAATTTAGCCCTGAGCCACTGAGCCCCTAACTCTTTGTGCTTCACTTTCATTTTTAAAAGGTTTTAGAATAAATAATCTATAAGGCCCCTCTTGCACCCTAAAACCAACTCTGCATTCAAACCCCATTCTAAAGAATACACACATGCATTTCAGGAGTCACCTTGCCCTTAAAGCGGCAGAGTTGAACTGAGATCCAAAGGG